CGATCTTTCATTGACCTTTTTCACTTTGGAAAATAACCAAGTCAAAATTTCTTTTAAAATTTTCTATTGATGATGGTGTCACCCCATCTGTTAGAGGGGGATTCCATGGTTTGAAGATGTTGACGGAGAAGGATAACTTTCTCACATTCAGTCTATCCTGTTGAGTGGGCAGTTTCAGCTAGTAACGCGGAGGTTTGTCATGGTAGGATGTTGGAATTGCCTCAAAAAAAACCACACTCCAATCCGTTCTAAGCCAATTGTTTGGTTTTTAGCGCCCCGGTGGAGAACGGTCGGGTTGAAAAATAACCCTATTTATACGAGTTCCTGCGATCGACTTTTGCGGGCAGGATCGGCAGTATTTGCTTTTTGTTCGCCAGCATACAGTTTAAAGGACGAGGTGACAGTGCTGTTGTGCCATCTCCATTTCGTTTACCGATCCAGAATGTTTTAAAGACGCTTATTGCCAAGTTTGTCCGGAGTAATTGATTTAGAAAGCCGACACTGTGGGCTACACAGCCAGGTGAAGCAAGCACGCTAACGTGCGCTTGATTACGTTTATAGCGACTGTAGGCATGCGTGGCATCTACCGCCCTCACTCGCCTCTTCTCATATGGGTCCGATGTGAAGATCTAATCAAGTAAACCACAGGTGGAGGAGGACGGGGGAATGACCCGGTCAAGCTCGCACCTTGACGTTCCACTCCACACCCTCTGAGTCACACAATAAATGACCAAGAGTAAAAACAGCGACAGGAACATCAGAACGGTTCAGAAGGACAAGGATGACTAAGCAGCAATACTCACGAGCTGTAGACCCAGCGGTAGCGCAAGCGAATCTACTGTCAGGGAACCAGGTGCCATGGAACTGCCGATGCATACCAGGCCGCGAGGGCCATGGTTTGCTGATCATGACATAGCAGACGCTTGCAAGGGTGACACGTTGCCCGCATTTGCCTCGGTCGCCGCCTTTCAGGACTGAGTAACCAAACGGTCCGTTTATAATACGTCCGTTTGAATATAATCCGACGATTTTGTTGATTTTATAGTGCAGTTTTTTCACTGCTCGGTAATCATTATTCGTAACGGACTACATCTTCAATAACTGTGTATTGCTTATTGTACTGATTCTGTCTACCTCTTCTAAAATCCGTCTGAATTTTTTTTGCCTGCTATGACGGGATCCCAAAGGGTCTTTAATAAAAATTGTTTATTTATTTGGGGCCACTACCCGTAAAACGCACCCGCAACCTTTATATGCGTGAGTGTTACAGATCGCTTAAGATGGATTCGTGGCAGCCTGGCTTCCAGCCCACCAGTCCGCCAATCCACAGAAACACACACACAACCGGGCAGATTGCGTAGACTGAAGTGTGGCGTCAGTAAGCAGCCTTCCAAGCCAAGACGCACTGCTGCGCATCATGATGGTTTCAAACTGGGATCGCACATGCAACAGGGGAATCGAATGGAAAATGAGTCGAGATACACACTTCCCGCCAGTGCGGGAGGCGACAATCGGATGTATGTGACGAGTAATGGTGTGGTGTGGCGGAGGATCTGGTGGGAATGAATGTGGTAGCATGGCGTTGCCGGCGGTCGTCAACCACAGGTTTTCGTAAATGCGCAGGTGGCCTTTTTGGATCATCCAATGAGCGGATGTCCGTGGACAATGATGACAGTCAGGACGGGTGCAAAGAATGTATATCAGTGCTCCAGGCACTGGTTCGCCAGCCTCCGTGAGATGAATTCGTATGCAATCGACCAGGCTGATGGATGAGGTTAATGTACGGGGACAGTTTGGACAGGAGAGATCGGGAGTGTCAGTGTCGTTTTCAGTGACGGTGGCGCTGGTGGAGTTGCAGATAGTGGCACGCCAGACGACGGTGTATGATTCGGGCTAGGCATGTAGGTACGCCGGACGTGCTAGGCGTTCCGTGATTATGGAGAATTCCGCTGTCGTGAGTACGCATGTGACCGAGTAGGCCCATGCAGTGAGTGAGCGCGCGGGGCAGTGAGGGCAGTCGAAGCGGATGCGGCGAGTGTATGTGGGTGTTCCAGGCACTGGTTCGCAAGCCTCTGTGTAATAGGTCCGCAATGGTCCACCAGGCCGATGTATAAGGTAAATGTGCGATCGCAATGAGGGCAGGCCTGAAACGGGTCCAAATCCCTGGAGAGGATTCTGCCGATGTTTGAAGTCGATTGGACGTCGGACGTCATCCATTCGCTGATAGGAGGGCATGAGGTCATTGTGGTGGTGGTGGTTGGGGTGGTGGTGTTCGCGGTGGTGGTGGTGGTGGTGGTGGTGATGGTGGTGGTGGTGGTGGTGGCGGCGTTGGTGCTGGTGGTGACGGTGGTGGTGGTGTTGGTGGTGGTGGTGGTGGTGGTGGTGGTAGTGGTGGAGGTGCCAGTGGTGGTGGTGGTGGTAGTAGTTGTGTTGGCGGCGGCGTCGGCGGCGGTGCTGGCTGCTGCGGCCGATTCAACAGCTGGGTAGGGCTCGTCGTGTCGGCTGATGAAGGCGACGGGTCGGCGACAGGGGTAACGAGCAGAAGCGATTTTGAGGAAGCGTCGGTAGTGGGAGAAGGAGTGGAGGTCGTTGGGTAGACGGCCTCCGCTACGACCGAAAGGCGTCCGAAACGTCCGTTGAAGTCGTGGGCAGATCGGGGATGGTTGAACGTTGTCGTTACGAAGCGGCGGCTGCTGTGATTTGCGAGCTTCTTGTTTGGCTTTGACGGGACTGATGAGGTTAACTTTGAATAATGCTTCATCTGTCTTCACTGTTCTCCTCCAGGTCTGCCGGTCCCGTGCGAGGTCTTTCCAGGTGGCCAGGTTAGTTTGCGGACGCTTCACGGAAATTTTTAGTGTATTCATGTGGCGTCGTACTGGACCTCCTTGTTAGTGGGAGCCCGTGGCGACATCTCCAAAGATGAGCCGTTTGGGTAGCCGACGTCGTCCATTCATAAGAGGTGGCCGGACTAGAGTAGTTTTAGTCGTTTCAGCATGACGTAGATGCTGAAGAGTCCTGTCCGTTCCAATACATTGGTGTTCGGGATTCGGTCTTGTTATTTCATATTTAATAGACGGCGAAGACAGCCGAGTTGGAAGTGGTTGAGTCTGCTAGCCTTCTCCTTGTACACTGTCCAGGTCTCCGTTTCATACAGCAGCGTCAGAAGGATGACTGCTTTGTACATCTTCAGTTTGGTGCAGAGGTGGAGACCGTAAGTATTTCAGACGGTGTTCTGCAGGCAGCCGAAGCCTTGCATGGTCATGGGAATCTGGCAGGCAACTTCGCCATGGATTTAAGTGTTACAAGATAGGGTACTGTCCAGGAAAGTGAAGTTGTCCACGGCCTGCATTTGGGCGCCGTCATTGTTGATTCACTATAATAGAGTATATATGAAGGATTTAGGCAGAGCCATGGAAAACCCTAGGTAAAACTAGACGTATGAAAAAAACAGACAGATATTTACAAAACAATTATGTATGTCATTAATATCGTGCACCTGTTTGACCATCAAGCATGAAGTTATATAATGTCCTTTTGAAAGTCTCAACATTTTCCGCTAAGCCAACGGAGTTCGGCAATTCGTTCCATCCTTCAACCAGCCGGTGGGAGAAACATTTGACCCGCATTTCGAGTTTAACATACTTTAGCTTCAGTTTGTATTGGTGCCCTCGAAGATCTCTCCTCCGCACCACTTCGAAGAATCGTCAAAGTGAATAGCACTGTCTAGCCTTCTGACGATTTTAAAGACCATGATCATATCCCCTCTGTATTTTCTATAAGAGAGAGGAAATATTTTTAGATATTCCAGGCGTCTATAATAAGGTTAGCTCCTTAATCCGTCGGCTAGCTTAGTCGCTCTTCGTTGAACGTTCTCCGGTAGGGTGTAATCGTGCTTCGTCCAGGGACACCATGCCTTAACACAATATTTCAACATTCGTCGAACGTATGCTCCAAATCTTCGGCCGAAAAGTCCTTCGGCGAAATTAAGGAAGGATCTTCTTATCGCGCCTAGGATACCCGTAGCTTTCTTTGGTACCTTGGCAAAGTGAGACGATGGTTTGAAAGTTGACATCATGCACACACCGAGGCTTCTTAACTCGTTGACTGATTCGAATTGGTGACTTCCTATAAAGTAGTGAGATTTATATCTCGACGGCCTCCTGTTGTCCGATCGTAATCGCATAAGTTGGCATTTGTTTAAGTTGAGGCTAAGACACCACTCATCACACCATCGCTGAAAGCAATTCAGATTGTCTTCTAACTGCACAGGGTCTTCCGGCTTCTTTATTGATTTCCACAATTTGAGATCATCGGCAAACATTATGCGCATGTAGTTCAGACAGCCCAGGCAGTCATTCACATAAATTAAGAGCAGAATTGGGCCCACAACGCCTCCCTAGAGAACGCTACTGTGGATAGAGGCTCATTCCGATATAGCATTTCCAATACACACACGCGGAGATCTGCCATAAGAAAATCGGCTAACTATTTAAGCAGATTTCCATTCACCCCCATTTGACGCAGTTTAGATATAAGTCGTCTGTTTGGAGCACTATCAAAGGCCTTTCTGAAGTCAATGTAAACGGCGTCGACTGAAAAACCCACGTCGATTGATTTCGTCCAGCTCTCCAAGGATATTAGCTTTGTAGGCTGCGTTGGCTGGTGGTTGATGCATAGCCACCGTTTTCATCGTATTGATGACCAGACCGAAGTCATCGCTTGTGGCGTCAAAGAAGTCTGTGCTCCTTTTGATGTCCACTTATTAGGCGGCGCTGAGGGCACAGTCGTCGTCAAAGAGAAGTTCGTGGACAATAGTTGTGGTTACACGCAACCGGAAGTGCATTCGCCGGTGGTTGAGGAGTTGACCATCCGTCCGGTAGACGATACGGATCGCGGGACGTTCGTCTCGGAAGGCGTCCGCTAGTTTGGCAAAGAACATGAGACTGAAAAGGGTAGTAGGTAACTAATGGAAGTAAGATCCCCTGAGACACAGATGTCAGGCCCGACTGCATTCGATTACGTCCAGATACTGTCTATGGTCCCAGTGCCCTCTATTTTGGCTTTTTGGAAATTTTCTATATGAGTACGAGGTAGATTAATGGAGACCCCGCTCAGGGTTCAGTTGTCTGGTGTCGCCTAAATGGTTCGCGGGATTCGTCACTGTTAATCTTGACGTCATGTTGATGTTCCGACGTTTTCCCATCGTTCATAGACATGAGTTCCTGTATTCGCTGTAAAATTTTTGCTCTGTAAGAAATTCGTGATATTTAAAATTGCATTTGGCCAACGGTATACTAAGCTAACTAGTTTTATTCCCTTTTGGGGCATGACAACTCCGGTCATTTCCATCAAGAAGAGCAGACAAGGTGACCCCTGCAACAGGGAATATTTTTCGTCTCGTCGCTTTAATCAACTTGCGTAGAACTCGAATCTACTTTTACCGGAGGTTATGCTATTGTCGTCTTGGTATCGCCGGTTCCCCGTCTATGCTTAATGAGACGGTATCCATCCGTTAAGATGCCCTTGAGGCGGTATTATTTAACTTTTTGCGTTTAAAGTTTGGTCTTTTTGGATCTGGTCTTGACATTGTCATCCCGGTCACTAGTATTCTGTGGCATGAGCGTCCTTAAGTCCACAAGCTCGTTTTATAGTTTTCTACTTTTATTAGGACATACGCATATCCCATACAGGGTTCATTCTCGTCTCCCGCACTCTAAGCCGCAGTTATGCTTCCAGCAGAATTGACTGTTTTTGGCTGGAAAAGTAAAGAGGACGGGTGCAGATCATGGATGCGAAGATCATGCTGTTATCGTCGAATTGCTAAGCACCACAGACTTTGAGGTTAGAGAGTATCTATGTTTTCTTCTTCGAGGTTAAAGCGAATACTTCGGGTCGTAAATGATGAAGCGTAATGAGTACTTAAAATCTGATTAGCGAAAAAATAATCGTTGGATTTGACGAATTGTCTGAAACTTATTCAGGAACGACTTTGCTGTTTGCAGGTCCCGGAGGGCTAGGATAACTTTAAACCTTCGAACGTTTTAAACACCTGCTTTTCTAGGATATCGTTAACTAGAAGTTGACTGCCTAGCCTGCAAATTGCCGTGATAAATACATTGTGCCTTACTCAGTTTTCCAACGAATGTCAACACGTGGAGGAAAATCCCAGAAATGCAGAAAGTGGTTCTGTATAAACGGTTCTATTGTCAATATTAGAGACGGTAACCGCGAAGAAGTTGTCCAGTTTTCGCACAAAATAAAACTACTGTTTTCAGTTGAGTTTGTAGCATTTCGTGGTGTTCGTGTGCGATGTGTGTGTTGATGGAAAGATGCTTGGTGATATGGTCGGTTTACGGTTACTTGATGCACATTTTCGCGGAGTCACATGTGACCGAGTAGGCCCGTGCAGTGACTAGATGTGCTAGGGTAATATGGGCGGTTGAGCGATGGCGGCGCGTGAATGCCGGTGCTCCAGGCACTGTTTTGCCAGTCTATGTGGTATATTCCCCAGTAAATGAGTAGACCAATGCGCGACATGCATGCGCACTGGTAGTGTGGGCGCGATAGGTTGGGAGGTACTGAGTCGGCCAGGATTGTTATAGAGCTAGTGGTGACCACGCCGTTGGATTGAGAGACGGTAGGTCTGTGAATGAGAGAGTTGTTGGGTTTGCAGGCTATGTTCGGTTCGTCGATATTGCTGTGAATACTTTTTTGTAGATATGCGTGTTCAAATGGGTTACAACGGTGAGAGAACGTATTTGGGCAGAGGGGACAGTGATGGCTAATGAGGTGAGTGTATGTGAAAATTTTGGTGCTAGCGCACCGATCGCGGGCCGGTGGATTTGCGAGTGACCGATCAGGTCGATGCATGGGATGGACTTTAGACCAAAATGAGTCCACGCCACAGATAGTAGGATGGTGGTTGATGAGGCGTCGGGAGCGTTTTGATGGGTGCCATAGTGGGAGAGCTGGTAGCCATCACCGTGGGAGTGGCGTTGACCGTCGGTTGTGGATTATCGAGAGCGCAGGGTTGACATGGACGCCATGGGTCGACTTCGCCGATTTTCGCTCCATTGATGCCCATAGTTCAGCAAGCCGACGGGTCCTACTCGGGGTTATTCGGGCTTTCGGATCGATTTGTAAGCGCTTCGGAAAATTCTTTAAGGTGTCCGTGTAGCGGCGCATGTGACCTCGTCCCATCCTTTCAAGATGGATGCTTCATCTCAGTTACGTTTGCCGTAGCATAGCGCAAATGTTGAGGAATCCGGCCCTTTTCAAAACTTATACGTCTGCGAACCTGGCTTGCCATCGCAGACGGCTGAAATGGAAATGGTGGAGATTTTGTACTCGTATCTTTTAGACTGTCCGGGTCCCCAATCTATTAAGCAATATCCACAGGATAACACTTTTTACACCTAAGTTTGACGTCGAGTTTGACACCGTGACGATTGTGAAGAATTGTGAGGCCCGATCGCCGGAACAAAAGCTTCATTTGCCTGACGTTTTTGACTCCTGCTCGAACCTATTATCGGAGGTAATAGCAAGTACGTGTGGTTCATGCACAAGGAGCCGCTGTATTCATAGGATGCAATCGTCCTGCTACCGCAGACCTATACAGATTTACTGATCTCTCATACCTTCATCGCGGATTGTTGCGCTTGGTGTAATGGCTGCTTTATGGCCGACTTGAGCGTCGCAAATCGCCGAAATTTCATCACGGATGTAGGACGTTGGTGTGACGACTGCTCGACCGCCTGATCTACCGACCCTAGAGTTTGCAGCAGAGTTCAACTGTGCGCTCCCCGCGTGGAGGATCTATCCGCCTGGGTGAAGTGTCTGCCCCGAGTATGGAAGGGGGAGGTCA